CAAGGTGGGACCCAGCAGCGGGATCCAGGGTGAGTGTCTTCCATCTCCCATGGGGATGGGTGTCTCAGGGTCTTTGGCAGGAGTGACAGTGCAGTGGCAGATGGTTAAGCCCTGTGTAAAAAGCAGGGATCTCCCAGAGGGGCCTAAGGAGACAAGACAACTAAATGCAATGTGATATCCTGGATGGGGGCTTGGAATAGGAAAAGGACATGAATGGGAAAACAAAAGCCAAAGAAATCATAAAGTTTGGTTAATAATTTTTTATTTTTTTTTTCAAGAATTTATTTATTTATTTGAGAGAGAGAATGAGAGAGAGAGAGAGAGCCCATGAGATGGGGGAGGGTCAGAGGGAGAAGCAGGCTCCCCGCCGAGCAGGGAGCCCGATGCGGGACTCGATCCAGGGACTCCAGGATCATTACCTGAGCTGAAAGCAGTCGCCCAACCAACTGAGCCACCCAGGCGCCCGGTTAATGATTTTTTAAAAGCAGGTGTATTAATACGATGCTCACTCTAGAAGGAACCTGGGTAAGTGCTCTAAAGGAAACGTGTCCTCCGTTCTCGTGGCATCTAACACAACCAGCGAGGGCCGACTCTCCGTTCGAGACTTGGGTTCATGTTGTCATTTGGGTTTTTTGTTTGTTGGTATATGTTTATTATAACAATGTTATACAATTTAAAACAATTAAACTTTTTTTTTTTACCACTAATAAATAAGGATTTATTTGGAAATTTCCAAACCTGCCAGAAGTGGCACTTGCCAAGCCCTGGGGTCCACCTTCCTACCAAGCTCCAAAGGGCAAAAATGGTCCTCCCCACCTCCCCCCTCACGCCCTCCTGCCCTCCACCAAGCACGCGCACACATACCTCAGGCCCTGCCAGAGAATCGGAGTCCCCTCCGAGGAGGGTCTACCCACCTGGGCTCTAGAGGCAGCCCCCTGGCGTCCGAGGGGATGATGGAGGCCAGAGCACTTTGCATAGATTGAGGAAAGAAAATACAGAAGGATGCACCAAACAGGGCTCCCTGAAAACCCCCAACTTACACCTGTACCAAAAAAGTGGTTCCCCCCTAGAAAAACCTGCTTCCCACATAGTGAAAATACCCAAAGGAAAGGAAAACCCAGCAGCAAGGCTGGGCTGGTAGGCGTGGCAAGAACTTTGGTTTAGGAAGGCTAGGAAGAACGTGAGCTGTGTCCTCTTCCTCACCCAGCGCCCCAGACCCAGCTCGGACACTGGCCCCAAGGGGTCGGTAAACAAAAATGCCGGCAGGCCTGGTTCTGAAATGTCTCTGTGACAATGTCGAAGTACAGCCTCCCATGGACCCATTTGGGCCTGCCTCGGCCTGCAGGGGAGCTGGGGAGCGTCTCTGGCGAACCCATTTAAAGCCAAAGTATAACGTAGGTATAAGGCTTTGGGGACCAAGCAACAAGGAATCCTAGCACTACATTTATAAAACTATAGCTGGGAGGCGCCTGGGTGGCTCAGTTGGTTAAGCGTCTGCCTTTGGCTCAGGTCATGATCCTGGAGTCCCGGGATCGAGTTCCGCATCGGGCTCCCTGCTCGGCGGGGAGTCTGCTTCTCCCTCTGACCCTCCCCCCTCTCATGTGCTTTCTCTCTCTCATTCTCTCTCTCTCAAATAAATAAATAAAATCTTAAAAAAAAAAAAAAGAAACTATAGCTGGGGAGCAGAGGGTGACAGAGACACCCCTCACCCCATCCTTAGCCTAGGTGTCTGTGGCCCCACATTCCACTGTGGACAGCAGCCAGCAAATTTGTACACCTCTGATTAGTTTCAATTCCACTCTGTCTTGCTCACTCTAGCTTTTTTTTTTTACCTTATTTATTTGAGAGAGAGAGCAGGAATGGTGAGGAGAGGGAAAAGCAGACTCCCCGTTGAGCAGGGAGCCCGATGTGGGGCTCTACCCCAGGACCCTGAGATCATGACCTGAGCCAAAGGCAGACGCTTAACTGACTGAGCCACCCAGGCGCCCCTCACTGCAGCTTTATAGGAAGTTTGAAGTTGGGTGGCATCGGTCCTCTGACTCTGCTCTTCTCCTTCAATATTGTGTTGACTATTCTGGGTCTTTTGCCCCTCTGTATAAACTTTAGAATCAGTTTGTCCATACCCATAACATAACTTACTGGGATTTTTGATTGGTATTGCACTGGATCTACAGATCAAGTTGGGAAGAACTGCGACATCTTATCAGTTCCATTAATTAAACATCCAAAATTGGACTGTTCTCTCAAAAGGTAAATACAACATATACAAATATTAAAAAATACATGCAAATACATCAATATATATTCAAAATACACATACATTAAAAATATAATTACATGTATTGTTTCCATGAAGGTAGTGTATACTCATGACAAATGTAGACAATACAGAAATGTTCCAAGTGAACATCCCATGTGTCTAGGCTCCATTCCACTTCCCCAGAGGGAGTCAGTGTTGGGTATCTTGACCTTCACACTCTTTTCTCTGTGGATCTGGGGCAGGGGGGGTCTGCATATGTGACAGGAGTCTATGGCCAATGTTACTAATTAATCCAGATGCTCCTGCCTCTGAGACTGGACAGAAAATCACAACCCTTCTTAACAAGGGCTCTGGACAGACAGTTGGAGCTGGAATAGCAAATCACATAGATTAGCCATTCCTGTAACTTTGTCCTTCCATTATTCTACATATATTCGGTAAGTGATGAGTAAGTAGGTAATATGCAGCCAAGTCCCAGAAAGTCTAAAAAAGATCTTTCTCCCTGATCTTCCATCTCTATCTTGACACACAAATGATTCATATATAAAAAACTTAGCTCAGTATTATATTTGTGTTAAAATATTTTCCCTCAAAGTCTATAGATGCTTCTTCAGTTTTCTCAGAGCATTTAGAGTTGGGAAAACCTCTGATGTCAATCCTTTTATTAGTACTCTGCTTTTCTGTTTGGCTGTTTGCCATGCAGCTGTTTTGGGATGTTCCTGGCTGAGCCTCCAGAGGCTATTACAGAAGGCACGTCAGAGTAGGAGCCCTTGAGATTGTCTCAGGGACCCTCCTATTCTCTTTCTGCTTTTGTCATTGTTATTAGTGCCATGACGTTTTCATGATTGGTCTACTCAAAACCCTTCTCCAGTTTTCTTTCTTTAGTTACTCTCATTTCCATTCCTGCTCCCTTTTTCCTCTTCCCCCAAGATAACTATCCTAATGTGTGTAATGTGTATCTTTTTAAAAAATGTGTTTTTGTAAAATATGTATTATTTTGTGTGCATATGTTGAATTTTCATAAATGGTATGGCATACCCCCTTATGATCCTTGGGCATAATTTCTTTGGGATACACACACACACACACACACACACTCGGAGCGTGTTGCTGTGTTGTGGGTTGTGTATACTTACTTTGGGTGATCTGCGCTCGAGATGGCTGCCTGTCTACACTCCCTCTGTTAGCACCTAAGGCTATAGCCCCAGAGCCTCACCAACACACAGCATTATCTACCTTCCAAACCAAGTTCATCTAATAGATGCCAAGTACTATTTCATTTTTCTTTTAATTTTCATTCTTTTTTTTTTTTTTTTTTTAGTTTTCAGTCTTCTGATTACCAGAGAGATTGATCATTTCTTCATATGCTCACTGGCCTTTTGGGTTTCCTATTTTGTGAATTGCCTGTTTACATCCTTTATCTTTTATTAGGGTTCCTGTCTTTTTCTTGTTAATTTGCAAGAATTCTTTGAATACTCTAGATATCAGTCTTTTCTTGATTTTGAGTATCGTTAAGTATCTTATCCCAACTGGAAATGTGTTTGTTACTTTATTGATGGTATTCTTCATTGAACAGATAATCTTATTTTCCCTATTATTTCCTTTTCTGTTCTTCAGAAGACCCAGTGATTTGCTTAGACAAATTAACCAGCGGCAGAGCCAGATGAGGGGCCAGCTCCTTGGCTCTCAGCCCAAGGCTCACTCCCCATGGCCTGCTGTCCTCAAGCTGGGAGCCCAGAGCAGCCGGGAGAATCAGCTGCCACAGCCTGGCCCTGGCCTGGGCACAGACCTGGGCTGTATCATACGCTAGCCTCATGAGCCTACTGAGCACTTGAAATGTGACTAGTCAGAACTGAGATATGCAATACGTGTAATATCTACACCCAATTTCAGAGACTTGGTATGAAAAATGTAAAATATCGCAACCATTTTTATATTGATTACATTGAAATGAGAATATTGGGTTATGTTGGATTAAAGGAAATATATTGCCAAAGTTAATTGCACCTATTTCCTTTCATTTGAATGTGGATAGTGGGATGTTTTAGATTAAGTAAAAATAGTGCAGGCAGTACAAGAATATGTCAAGATTTGTGGCTGTTTGGGGACGGACTGAGGTCTGGTAAACACCGCTGAACCTGCTTTGTTTTATAGGAATGGGAACAGGTTCAAATTAAGGAAGGGATTTATCCAGGGAGCATGAGTTCAGGCTCTTGTGTGGCGCCCGGCTCTCTGGCAGGTGCTAGCAGGTACCCCTCTCTGGCATTTTCCTATTCTCAGCTCTGGGTCACAGGTATGCCCATGTCCAGCAGAGAGACTGACAGGTCTGGCCCTGGTGGGGACACAGGGGCCTGTGAGATTGGCTGCCACAGGAAAATCAATGGCGAGAGGTGGGACAACTCGCTAAGAAACCAGAGTGACGGAGGGCACTGGGCTGCAGAAGCTAGTTGGGGATGCTGGGCAGGCAAAAAACGGACAATGTTCCCCGCAAGGGTCCCATAGCCCATCAGTGACTCAGTCCTCCTCACTCCCAGGTCAACGCTCTTCTCCACATGTAATGAATCTTACTAAAGACTTGAGTGACTCCTACTTCGATAGTTTCTGCCTCTCCAGACTCCACCTGCCCTGAGTCCCAGCTGTCTTGGTCCAGTAACTGTGTGCCAGAGGAGAGCTGGGTTTGGGCAGTAAGGGAGGTCAATCTGGGACAGGATATCCGGTCACGCTCTCTGCTTTGTTTCAGGGGTCTTCAGGGCTTTGCCCAGAGGCTGGAACCTAGGAAGCCAGGAGGGCACCTGGGGAGCCAAGAGACCTAAGGATTTCGTTGGCAGAAACGTATCCCAACCAGGAGCAGGGGGCATGGACCACAGTGAGGGGGTCATCCAAGCCCCAGCCGATACCACGGTGCCTCAGGAACTGCTGGAAGAAATGCTTTGGTTTTTTCGCGTGGAAGATGGTAAGTGGGGGGCGGATCAGGGAGGGGGCATATGGGCCTCAGCACAAGGAGTGGAATCTGGCTGAAATCCCCCGACACAGTTGCCTCCTCCAGTACCAGCTGCACATTTCCCCCCAAGGTGGGGACTGAGGCTGAGGGGGGTCTTAATTCCCAGAGGGGTCTGGCCTCACCGCACCCTCTTCTCAGGGCTTGGTCATTCATTTTCTTCATTTATCGGATCAGTCACAAATATTCATTAAGTTCCTTCTGCGCACCGGGCACCGTTCTCAGCAGTGGGCTTACAGTCGTGAATGAAGCACAAAAGTCTCTGCCCTCCGTGCAGCACATATTCTAATGAGAGAGAAAATCAACAAGACAAACGACTAAAATGCAGAGCATGTGGGTGATGAGCAATATGGAGGAAAATTAAGCACAGAAAGGGAAGAGAAGGGTAGGTACCACGGTCAAGGAAGGCCTCACCAAGAAGCTGACATTTGAATAAGGGCTTGCAGGAGATGAAATGATGAGCCCCGCAGATTATGTGGGGGAAGAGCATTCCTCGTAAGGGGAACAGCAAACGCAATGGCTCCAGGGCTGGATCCTACCTCATTTTGGTACGGTGTGGACACATCTCATTATCCAAAGTCAGATTGGCCACTTTATGTATTCTCTGTTGGCAGTTGTTGGACACAGTTTCACTGCCACCCCTTCCCCCCCCCCTTAGATTAGGGCTTCTGCAGAGCAGAAATTGTCCCTCCCTCTCCCCCTCCCCCACACTGGAGGTTCCGCAGGGCAGGGGCTCATCTTCGTCAGTCTCTACAACGCCTGGCTCACAGCAGGGGATGACTGATGCCATGAGCTGAGTCTGAGCCCAAGCCCCAACTGCTAGTGGGCCTGAGGGGCACCCAGCCTCTCCTCAAGGCTCTGTTCCATGTGTCCTTCCCCAGCATCTCCTTGGAATTATTCCATCTTTGCCCTGGTGGGTGTGATGGGCGTGATAAGCTTCGTCCTCCTGGGAAGGAGCATCCAGGCAAACAGGTGAGGAGCTGGTCTGGGGGTGGTCTCTGGGGGGTGGGGGACCTGCCCTCCCAAGGGAAATCTAGGGAGCGGGCATCTAGAGGTCTTGGCTAGCCACCCTTTGGGACAGCAAAATGCAGCCTTGTAGAATTTACACTTTGGTGGGGAGCCAAGTGTAGTTTAGAGTGACAGATGCTCAGTGTGGGAGATACAGAGTGTGTGGGAGCTCAGTGGTGGGATCTGGGGCCTTCTGGGCAAAGAGAGAAAGGGAGAGTGGGCTGAGGAAGCCTTCTAGACTGAGGGACAATAGGCACCAAGCTTGAGGTGCTGGAGGAGAAGGCCTGGCCCATATGGCTGTGCAATGTGACGTGGCATGGGGATGGAGGGAGGACAAGAGGAGGGAAGGACCCAGAATGTATGGGTCCCAAGGAATTCAGGTTCTAGCTCATGGGCACTGGGGAGCCAGAGAATAGCTTTGCACAGGGACATGAAAGGTCTGTTTTAGCAAGATTAGTCTGGATGTAGGATATAAAAGGAACCAAAGGGGTGTAGCTCCTAAAAATGTGACCTTGCCTTTCTTACCCTGTCAGGAAGCATCGCCCTCAGCAAGGTCAACTCAGGGACAAAGTGGCTGTCCATGGGAGCAGCAGACACTGAGCTGCTCCCCCTGTGGCCCGAGCAGATTCTCTGGGCAGTCAGCCGTTACCACAGCTGGGTTCCTCCACAATGGCCAGGAAACCTAGGGGTACCTTGAGTAAGACTGCCTTCGGAGGGAGGACACTTGGGGGAGTTACTGGAAGAAAGGCTAGGTCTTGAACACCAGCTTAAGGACATGGGCAGTGGGGAGCCACTAAAGGTGCTTGAGCTGAGGAGTGATGTGTGCACACTGGGGTCTTAGAAACATGACTGCTGTGTGTGGGCTGGTCTGGAAAAGCAAGCACCTAGAAGCAGGAAGATTAGTTAGGAACTTCCTGAAGTAGTTTGGGGATGAGGTGGATGAGGGTGGGAATGGGATAACAAGGACACAGAACCCAGAGTCAGGAGACTTAAATGCATGTCCAAGGTATGTTCATCTTTGACGTTTTTGAACCCCATTTCACCTGTAAGGGGAGCAAGGGGTGAGAATAGTTGAGCTCATGGTGGCAATGAGGATTTGCTGAGATGATACACGGATGAGAATAAGCCATTTCTCTGCCAAAAGAACACCAAACTATCTGGGCTTTCTCCCCTAACAGTTCCCAGGACTGCCTACTGGATTTTCCCCTCCAACCCGCTAATCTACTTGGGAGACCCAGTCTTGCCCCCAATCACTCAGTACCCCAGCTCAGGGAACCCAGATTCAACAGTGTTTTCTCTCCTCCCAGAAATAAAAAACTCCTGGGGAAAAACAAACCAGAACTCCAAGACTTGGCAGAGGCTGAAACCAGAGATGACAATAACCTGAACATCCTAAGAGAGACTTTGCTCTCAGAAGAGCACAATTTAGCCCAGGTGGCAATTGAGTCAAAAGAGGCAGATGCGCCACTGGCTCTCCTTCCAGATCCACAAGAATCGGAGACCTAGTAAGAGATCAGAGCCCTGCCCCATGTTGCCAGCAGATAAGATGGACGAACTGCAATCAAACTAATATTCTGTTATGGGGGGAAAAAACACTTTTTATTAAAAGGTTTCTGGAAGTGGGCATTTAGAATTGCATAGTTTGTTCAAACGGCCGTGTTCCAACACAAGCGGCTTGGAGCAGGAGCGAGAAATCCATAGTCGGCCTGTGGGTCAGGAAGCCTGGCTAGGACTCCTCGTGTGCTCTTGAGGAGTTCACAGCCTCCCTCTGACCTCAGCTTCTCCATACACAGAATGGGGCTGAAGGCCGGGTTAGAACTGTTGCTCTTAATCCAAGGTCCTGGAATTGCCAAGAGCAGGATTCCGCGCTCAGAATCCCCTTCACATCCCTTTCCTCCTAGCAGAGCCCTCTCCTTTACCTGCTTATCTGCTGAGGGCCCACGAGAGACTTCCTTTGGGCCAGGGGCCCCAAGGTAAAGAGAGTTAGAAAACTGTGGAACTCCCTGTGCTGACAATGGGATCCCAAGAGAGTGTCCTGATCCTGTGTCTGAGCCACAGTGTCGTATCAGCTGCAGTGGTGACCCCAAATAATTTATGCAAAAAATTGCTTTCTGAACCCCAAATGCCTTAGCTTCTATCTTTCAAAAGTGGACTTAGAACACTCAGACCCACTGTCGAAGGTACTGGGTCCTGCCAGACTAGACTACAGATGGCCTACTGTGTTTCTACCTACGAGCCTCAGGCCAGCTAACAGTGCCCACTGGGTGAGTGATACCCCCAGTTGTAGGCTCCCGGGAGTCCTGGGGGCTGGTCACTAGAGAGAATGACTTTGTTCTGCAGCTCTGATCATTAAACTTCAGGAGGCTGGTCCTGAGGGTCTGTGGAGAGAGTCCTGAATTTAAGATGGGAAAATAAGGGGGCACTGTCTCCTGGGGGAAAAAACATTGGAGGCTCCTTATCCCAGATGATCCAGAGCCCCCAGTCCTCACCGAAAGGTAAAGTACTGGAAATAGCCCTTCCTGGGAATTTTGCTTCTCACAGCCTGTCCCGTAGGATTATTTAAACTGTGGGGTTTGTTGCTTGGGGCTTCTGTGAAGTCAGAGGACAACAGGAGGGCCAGGCTCAAGGCGCCTCCCCGCCAACTTATAGCCGCTCTGTCCTTCCTGTCCACCAGATGGTGCTAGGACCTCAGGGTTGCTCCTCCTGCAGCACGTTCTCGGGCCTACACTTAGGGACCATCCAGAGCTGTCCCCTGGGGGCCACATCTGGCCTGGCTGCAGCTGGAGCAGGAAGGAGTCATGGCACCACGATGGACACTGCAATTCCCTTCCGCTTGAGGCTGACCCCAGGTCTCTGGGTTGTCTCAGTGGCTATTTCCCTTCAGGGTCAGGGAATGCAGTGGCTACCATGGAAACCAAGGCCTGGAGCAAGGAAGAGCAGCGTTCCTGCCTGTCCCTCCAGCTCATACAGTGAACCGGGTGTCCGGGACATTACTTGGTGCTGGAAGAGGGGTCAACTGTCCGCCAGAGGGCCAGGGCTATTGCTCCGTCAGAGGGAAAGCCCCGCCCAGCTGCTGAGTCCGGGATCTGGGGGGGGGGGGGGGGTGCCCTCAGAAGATCTTGAAGCCCTTCAACAGGGTCAGGGCGGGCGCCTTGCGCTTGCTCTGGGCCCGGGATGACTTCACAGTGACCAGCTTGGCCTGGGCCACGGCAGGCATCTCCTTCAGGCTGACGGTGGAAAGTGTGTTGAAGGTACAGCTGGCCAGCCCATGCCGGGCGGTGAGCGGAGCCTGGTGGGGCAGGGCCCTCTCCTCAGAGATGAAGAGAGGCCGGGGCAGGGAATGCTTCTCCAGCTCCCGCCGTGCCTCCCGCACGGCCTCGTGGAAGACATGCTGCACGTGCTCAAAGTCCAGGCAGGCCGAGACCTCGAAAAACAGGCACCCGAACTTGCCCGCCAAGGCGGCGCCCTCTGCCTTGGTGACCTGCCTGGTGGGGAAGCAGGGCGAGGCAGGGTCAGGAGCGAGCGTCCAAGTCGGGGAGGCCCGCGCCTACCCTCGTCTCCCCACTCACGGGCTTGGTGACCTGCAGTCATCTCGTGAGTACAATGGGATAATGACATCTGCCCCGCAGGGTTGTTAAAAGAATTAAGAGAGACCATTTGTATCGTGTGCCTGGTGTATTACCTGGCACAGAGTCTGTGCTCAATAAATGGTGGCTGATGTCTCCAAAGCAGAATCTAGGAACAAAGCGTGGGCAAGGGAGCAGCTTACTGGCTAGACCCTGCTTGTGGCTGGAAGAAGATGGTCATTCCCAGCCCTGCCTTCCTCTAGGCCAGCATGGGTCCTTGGTCAGGAAATGAGCCACCCTCAGCCCCAGCCTGTGGGATCAGCTCCAGAGAAAGGCAGTGTGGTCTGGACGGAAACTTGTGAGACCACAGAGGAGGGGAGGGTGAGGCACCTCGGGATGCCTGTGGTTGGCAGAGTTCTGGGGCTCATGCGGAGAGTTGCCTGCTCGTCCAAGGGAGGGGCAGGGGAGAGCAAGGGTGACATTTCATGGGAAGGAGGGAGAGAAGGGGAGAGAGAACAACGCCTATTGTCAGCTTCGTCCTATACCCTCTTTCCTGACGGGATCGACTATTTAACTGGGGACTATTTAACTTGACTATTTAACTTGAAGCTTCTGGCCTGAAAGCCATGGGAATCAAGGTGAGAGGAAAAAGACCAGCTCTTGGGTCAGTCAGATGTCCAGAAGAAGGAAGGGGTGGGGGTACCTGAGGTTTTGAGGCCAAGGTTCCATTGGCTGAATCTTGGCGACCACCTTGCGCTGCCATTCCTGGGGACAGTGGCACAGCCCATGAGACCAGTGGGTAGTGATGCAAAGAGGTTTCTGAGCCAAGGTTAATTTGGCAAGAGCAGGGGGGCTGGCAGTGGGCTAGCTGCCCGGGGGGAGTATCAGACAGAGAGTGACTGGGACAAAAAGGGCCAGGGGCAGAGCATCTAGACTCCCCACCGAGGGCTGGTGTCCTGTCTGTAAGCTGTTTCCTGAGGAACCGTTCTGAAGGAACACTTGATATTATTTGCTTTTATGACAAGCTTGAGTCTAAAAATTTCTCATTGTGCGGGCTTGAATTCATGAATTTTCAGAAACTAGCACCCCATGCATGCATACATGTGTGTGAACGGGGGACACAGGCATGTCACATGATCCTCTCTTGTTCAGTTGCAGCCTGGTGACAATTTTATCAGCAATTTGGGAACCACTCGCATCAACAATTTACCATGCTCTAACCCACAATTTACCATGTAGCTGCAAGATAGTCCTGGGAGATACACCAATGCTCAGCTACAAGACTGACTATGCATCAAATCCTGATCCACTACCAGACTGGATCAAAGAAGGAAATGAGGGTAAACGGCCACAACTTTCCTTAGGGAATTGAAGCTGCTCTGGCTGAGCCCCATAATCTTTGTTATTTGCTCCCCAACCATTTTTAGACAATCCCTGTGGCAAAGACTGGGATCAAAACAGTGGTCTAGTTTTTCCCCTCATACTGAAGATAGATTTACCACAATTCAGTCTTCTGACCCCTCTTCCAGGCATCGTGGGCTCTATGATTCCTCAAAAACCACCTTTCGGTTTTAAGATCACACAACTTCCTTCATTCCCTGGGATGGAATTTGTCTTTGTCTGAGGGCTTGATGGCCTTTGAAGGCTCCTACAGTGGCCCCTCTTCATGAGACTGCACCTCTCTTTTCCCACTGCCCTTCTGATTTGTTCTGCACCAAAGGTCCCTTCCTGGCTTATCCCAGCCAATGGGGCTTTGGGGTCTGGGGAAGCAGGAGTGACTGGCCATGAACAGGGAGGGACAGATGGAAGACGGGTGGAAGGCACCAGACGTTGAAGGTGGACAGGCCACATAGGACAAATGTCAGTGTTGGGACAAGGGCAGTGGGATTACTCAAGTGGGAGTGTCATGCTTTCAGGGGCCAGGCAAGCAACTCGAATGTATGGACAGAGTGGAGGAAAGCCATGGGGAGTGGTAAGGCCTGAGTCAGCTGGAGAGGGCATACCCCTCCTCAAAGCATTCCAATTACAGGTCTTTTAAAATACTGTGCTCGCCAAGCAAAATGCTTCAGTATTTGCTGGTAATCTGCCCCCTGGCCCAGTCTGTGACCTCTAATTCAAGTCCAGCCCCTTCTAAGAGAAGCTGCCCTCAGCACCGCAGTGCTTGGGTGAGATGAGAGCTGGTTGGACCAGACCAGACACTTGACTCAAGGAGCCAATCACAGCCTTTCTTCTCAGAACTGGAATTGGGCACTGAATAATAACCAGCCAGCTATGGGGAGTGAGGATGGAACGTCATATAGACAGGCAAGAGAGGGTGCCGCTGAGAGAGACCACAAAGCCCCATGAGGATGGAAGCAGTGGCTTTTCTGACTTTTAGGGTCCAACCCCTGTGTGGGCCAGAAGCTCTTCCCTTCCTGCCCTGGCCTGTCTGGAAGGCCACGCACACGGTACCCTTTAACCCAAGTTCGCAGGGATGACTTTCCTTAGCAGCCCAATAATCCCCGATGATGACACACAGCCTTTCCAAATGAGGCCAGTGGGCTCCAGCGAGGAGGACACACCGCCCGCGCTCACCTGTACTGGGCCATGTCCAGCTTGTTGCCTAGCAGCAGGGCAGGGGAGCTGCGCTGGGTCTCCTTGGCGTGCAAAGCGAGCAGCTCCAGGTAGCTGCTGCTGTCCTTGAAACTCTGGCGGCTGTCCATGCTGTACACCACCAGGAACGCGTGGGCCCAGTTCAGGTAGCGCTCACAGTTCCTGGGGGTGTCCTAGGCGAAGGAGGGAAGCCTCGCTGGGGGTAAAGGCCTTTTGCTTCATCCCACCTCCCCACTCCCTGGGTCTTTGTATATTGTTCCCCAGCAGGGCCCTTTTCAAAGGGGCACTTGAGTGTGGATTTGGCTTGGCGTGAAAGGAGGCATTGTCTCGGGAGCCTCACTCCCACCACCCAGCCAGAGGCTTGGAGACCTTGGCCTCTGGGGCACAGAGCCAAGACTCTGGCATGGCTGCTAAGAGACCTGGCTGTCCCTGGGCACTGCTGGTTTGGGGTCAGGTTGATG